GCTCAGTGGCATAAGTGCCTGCCTGGCATAACATCCTGAGTTCAATCCCTGGCACCACAAAAATAAATAACAGAACTATTATGGATCTGGAAGGATTGTTTTAAATATGTCAGTCTAAAGCAAAGCCAGGAAAAAGCCAGACATAAAAGTAGGAAATCTTTTAATGAATGAAGAATTACAAAAGAATATACATATTTTTCTATTGATACAGGGTCCCCCTATCTAGCTTGAGCTCCTAGTGATCCTCTTATCTCAGCCTCCCCAGTGCTGGAATTACAGGCCTGTGTCACCACTTCCAGTTTCAGGCAGGCACTATATGCCCAGGGTTTCCCTGGTTGGCCCCACATTCGGTACTGGGGATTGAACTCGGGACCTTGCGCTTGCCAGGCAGGCACTTATGCCATTGAGCTGAGCTATCTCCCTAGCCCAGAACAGCACTGGTTACTACCAGTTGGACTCAAATCATTCCGAACCTTAAAAATCAAACCAAAGCAAAAGAGAAACAAAAGTTCATGGCATTGCATCCTTTCAGTCTTTATAAGTTGCAGGAGGCCTTCTATGCCCAGCACTGCTGCACCAGTTTTATTTGGATAATGGACAGTGACAGGTATGGCCGAAAGATTGATACATTTTATTTTAAAAAACAGATTTACAGGCTTCTCTGTTGGGACTAGATAATTCCCATGCAGATTAAATTTTGTAGTGCTCAAATGAGTAATGTCTCTGTGGGGCAACCCACTCAGTCTCCATTTATCTCTCCTCCTGGGAGACAGTTTCAGTGTGTGCAGATCCATGACATGCCTGGGTTTCACCTGACGAAAGGCAGTGACTCATGGACTGTTTTGGCATCAGACCTGGCACCAGCTTTGAAGGAGCTGTCTGACTATAACTGAATAAACAGAAACCATGTTGCAAAAGACTGGTAAAAATTAGGACAATGATATTAGTGACATTTCTGCACAGGAAAGCCCAGTCATGAAAGGCCTAATTTCTGCCTTGCCTCCACCCGGACCAGGGAGTTGACAGATGAGAAACTAATTGGCCAAGAGGGTCTGGTACTTAGTACAGGGGACCCAGGAAGTGGAGAATCGGGGGCTACCTCTTGGGGCTTTCTGCCGGATTCCAAGCTCTCCCGGGCACATGTTCCTAAGGAAGAATGTGCGGGCTGTTAGGAAGAATAGAGACAAGGGCAGGTCCCAGTGTAACTGTTTCAGTTCCTTTTTGCTATGCTTGGTTTGTAGATATGGAACATAAGCAAGTGAAAAGTGCCATGCTGACCGTTTATCCTTGCCCAGTACTGAAGGAGCTGCAGTTGGGGCTGCCCGGACAGGTTGAGTTTAACGGAGAGTTTTCTCTCTTCTGATGGGAGTGAGTCTGAGAGTTTCTCTGATGAAATGGAGGGCAGCTGCTTGCTTTTGAGAACTAACCACAGCCCTCAATCAAGGCTGATAAGAGCTCAGAGAGGCGACTTGCTCTGAGCAAAGGTGTCACAGCTCAGGAGGCAGAGGGGAAGCGATCACCAGAAAGGACTCTGTGCATGCGCTGATAACACGGGGGAGCCAGCTCTGAAATCCAAGGGCAGATAACTGTCCGCATCACTAAGTGCTCACTGGGAGCAGAAAACCAAGAAGAGGAGAGAGACAACGAAAGACACTTCTACAGCAAGTCGAGGAAGTGATCAAAAAAACCACCGAACCAGCAGCGTCTAAGTTGAGCCTTTGCTTTCTTTTCAGTGATTTGGTGACGTTATCAAAACATCCCATTAGGACTTTTCAAAAACATAGATTTAACAGTTTGAGTACACAGAGTCATGGTGTGGGGTTGCCAACAAGAGATATTTTTTTTAAATTTTTTCCATAATTTTATTGAGAAACAAATAGCAATGAGACAGTTTCAAACCAAATTGGTAGGACAGTTTCAATAATTAACACATTGTATACATTCTTCCTAGTGGTTAATTGCTGTACAAGATGCAGACTTGATATCCTATTTACAAACACTATTAGAACAAATCCCTCTATTCATTAAGAGAATGCAACTATATCTCTATCCTAACCAATTTGAATACAAAGATACAAAATGGACATTTATCTGTATCCCCTTTTTTTGTTAAGTTCCATCATTTAGATATTATAGGCGTGTCAACTCAGCAAAATATTCTAAAAGAGTCTAGTAGTCCATAATAGTATTGGGTCTTCTGCTTCACTGGCAATGTCAGAAATTGTTGACCTGAGTCCCCTACAGCTCAACATAACAGCATGGCTTTACTTCTTATACTTAGTTTTTATACTTTTCTGTTGGATGGTTAAGACCAGGTTAAAGCAGGACCTATGCAACAAGAGTTGTAGCTTTTGGGTCTGATAAGGTCAGTGAAATCCCCTGAGGATTTATCCTGAGATCCTGTACCTCAGATTGTAGAACCTTTGTCAGTGTCAGCCACGTGGATGAGTCACGGCCATTGCTTGGCCAATGTGCTCTCTGTGAAAGCCTGAGAAAATGTTTTCTCTCCATGTGACTCTCCTTAGACACACTCTACATCATTGATCATTTTCCTCTTTGGCCCCATAATCTCCTTGATCAGAAAATTTGGGACACTACTGAGTTACAGGACATTACTGTACCAATTCTCATATATCCTGAGACTTAAGTGAAGTGGATGCCACTCGAACATATACTCATAAGTGAAATAAACCAGACACACGTGTAAATATCATATAGTTTCCCTAGTATAAGAACTCAAAAGAAGAAATACAAACAAGGATTCTTGTGTGCTGAGGAGCAGTCAGAAGCCAAGGAAAGAAGCAGAGCTTGTGGGCATGAAGTAGAGCTAGAGCAGAAGCCACAACTTGGCAACAGGAGCTAGATCTTAATGTGCAACACTGAAAGAGATGATGAACAGAGTTCTTCAAAAGCAGTGACAGTTGAGCCAGCTAGATAGCTCAGTGGATTAAAGTGCCTGCTTAGGCAGAGGCAGGGACAGGTCCAATATGTGCTGTGCTGGCCCTGCCCCCAGGGCGCAATGAGACTTGGCACAGTGGTACGCACCTGGAAGCCCAGCTCTTGGGAGGCTGAAAACAGGAGGATCACTGCAAGTCCTATCTGTGTAGTGAGACTCTGTACTAAATACAAACAAAACAAAACAATACAGTAAGGGTAAAATAAATTGTGGCTAATATTTTTTCAACACAGGGTTCCTACGCTGTCCTGTATTACTTGAGGCATATGGGTTCACTAAGGAAAACTTAGGATGCAATGCCAGATAGGGCTGGGAATCCGAAAGTTTGACGAGAAGAAATCAAGAAGATAAACAATTTTCTCAGCTATTAGGCCTAGACTGAAACCAGGGCTGTTTCATTTCAAACTCCTATTTTTTTTTTTTTTTTTTTTTAAGATCTCCTTCTTCTGTAAGTGAGATGATCTCTCTAAGTGATTGAAAGGTGATAATTACATCGGTAATTTCTGTTATTTTAACGTGTTAGCTCTAAGCCCTGTTCTCCTTGTCGCAGTGGGTGGAGGTCCTGAGGACCCCATCAGTGTCAGTACATTAGGTAAATTCACCTCCTTCTCCACTTTCCTGCTCTCTCTACGTGGAGGAGGGAATCCTGCACCCACCTCTGGACAGCTGGCACCTGGGGACACTTGTCACTTCTCTGATCCATAGTTCCAGGCTGCTTTCTATAGCTGAGAGCAGACATAGAAAGCAGCAACAAGGGACAGGGAGATGGCTCTGTAGAATAAGCGCTTCCCTGGCAAGCACAAGGGGGGACCTTAGCTGCCTCTCTTTCCTAGCAGCCTGGCACTTGTTTTCTCAGGGCTCAGGCAAGATACCTGCTGTGCTGCTGTGCTGGACATGAGTGCCTCTGAGGAGGGCGCTGGGCATCACACTGCTCCCAACTACAAAGGAGAAGCTGCTGGTTCAAAAACAGGTTGCCTAATGAATACAGTGTACATGCATTTATCTTGGGCGATTATTTGGCTCAGTTGTAGAATGCTTGCCTCACAAGCTGGAAGCCCTGGTTCCGTCCTCAGCACCAAAAAATGAAAACTAAACCTCCCCTAAAAAACAATTCAACCAAAAAAATACAAACAAGACGACGATTGGGAGATTAGTGCTGCACATACTGCATCTCTGTCACCTTCACAAACACACTGATTTTAAAAGGGGGAGCTTAAGGTCAGGGCACATGACATCAAGAGAAGCTACTGGACTTGCTAGGAAGGACTCTTTTACTGGCTTTCTCTTTCCTGAAATGGGGGAGTGATATGTGAGGGGAGAAAATATTCAAGTAAATATGGTAAGGTGCTGAGTGTCTGTAACTTGAGCCTGGAGTTTAGGGTAAAGTTCTCGCTCCTTTGGCCCCTAGGCAAGAATTAACTCATCCTGTTCCGGGTTGCTCTCTCCCAGTCTAGGCTTGAACTCCAGACGGGAAGCTTTTTGAATCCCTCCTAGGATGCCTTTTCTGTTTGTATGCTGCAGTGGGAGAAACCCACTCTTCCATTTTGGGGTGGGGTATGTGACTGTAGGAATCCCGTTCAAGTGAGGAGGTACAAAAGGCTTCACTGTGTAGCTGAACATTTGAACTATTGCTGCCAGTGCCAGTAAGGACCTCTTGCTTTGGGGATCAGGATACGGTTCAGATCAACTTACTTCATCAAGGAGAATGAATTAAAGCCTAGGGATCAGTGCCTAGTGACTGGCTAGAGTCACTGAAGTCCTGAGAACTATGTGCATAGTCACACAGGAGAGCTGGGACCTCCGAGCAGTCAAGACTTACGCGAGCGGCAAATGTGGTCAGTGGAAATGAACTCTCAGTGCAGCTCCGAGCCACGTGACTTCCTATTTCTGTAAGGTACTTCCAGAGGTACTTCCTCTGTAAACTCAGCCTAGGTCCCGGGAGATTTCCTTCAGCGCCAGGGCTGAGTTTACTTTCAGCCTGGGACAGTTTTCCTGGAGATCTGGTGTTAGTTTCTTTTCTTTCTCTTTTCTCTGCCTTTGGCAGCATGCAAGGATCTTGTGGCTCCTGTCCGTGATCGGAAATTGAACACCCTGGTGCAGATCTCAGTAATCCACCCCACAGAGCAAAGCCTGACAAGATATTCCAGCACTGAAGTGGTAGAGGTGAGCGTGCTGCCTGCCCCTGTGCTCTCTCTCTTCCCCCTTCTCTATCTCCGTCTCCCTCTCTCGCTTAACTCTATGTCCCCATCCTCCCAGCAAACAGTTAAAATAACTTCTTCTGTGGTCTTTAGCTATGCTGTTACTGCGCTTGGTCTTTTACTAACACATGTCTGAGGTTATTAAGTGTAAGCATGCACTGATCCCTCGCAAAACAAACACATGGATGCAGAACTTGTCTTTTCATCGAAAGATTTAATTTCTCCCATACACAGTAATTCCTGCTTTGAATTTCCAGATAATAGAATAAAGAGAGAAACAAAAGTCATGTAAATTTTAAATGGAATGGTGTGAACATAGATTGCAGGAAAAAGTTGTAAACCAGGCACAGGAGTTCTATACATGTGTTTGTGCTCCTTTTCTTTTATCCTTTGTTCTACAGTCTAACTGTGGAAACTTGACAGTGTCTTCTGTGTGTGTCTTTCAAAGTTCAGTATTTTTCAAAGAAAATTGGATTATTAATTTGAGACACTGATGTTTCCAGGCAAAAGGTGTATATATTACTCATCCTATGAGCGATTTCCTATTTACATTTATTGTCGCTAATATAGCATTCAGAATGTGTTAGGAGGAAACTCGTTATTGTGCTGGATCAGATTCAAAAGGGGAAGTGTTTCCCTTTTCATAATTTTGTTCTGATCATGCATTTCACGACCTTAGTAAAAGATACTTAGTTGAACATCTGTGACTGAAGAAAGTGTACTCTACACTCCTTCCGATTGACTTGTTTTATTTTTAGATTTTGAGCTGCATCTGTTTAGAATGAAGGTTTTCTTCCTAAGAATCTAATAAGCCTGCCCCAGACCTGGCTGGCTCAGTGGTGCCTGCCTGCTTTGATGCAGTTAGTGGAACCAATGATTCAGACTGAGTTACTTCTATAATGGGAATGACCCAGATATTCATGTAGCCCTGAATCTGCTCTTTGGAAACTTTACATTTCTATGGATAGTTAATGCTGTAGGTAAATTAACAAAACTGATCTTATTCATATAAAGACAACTCGACTAAAATTGTAAAATTGTAAATTTTATGTATTGCAAGCTAGCTATTTTTGAAATGTTGCCCAGACTTCAAATAATTTATTTATTTCTGAATTTATCATCACCCTCCCCAATATTTTTACTGTGCTGAAAAACAGTTCATTAAGTTTACCATGTTAGCTGTGATAAAAAAAAAATATTCTTGGCTCATTTCAAAATTTTGCATTTGAATATGTATTCTACTTTTGACTGTTTTATTCACAGCCTATTCCCAAGTGTCTGATCCAATGCCGAGCAAAAAATACTTGTTGAATGAAAGAATGAATATGTGAATGAATGAATATTCGAATGAATAACTTGAGGTCTTAGAAATTTCCATAGACATGGTCTAGAGAACTTGAGCAAATATTCCCATGATATACAATTTAATGTTTTGTATATATACATATACTTATGCATGTAAATTATATATAAATTAATTTTAAGGAGCAGTTCTCTAAAAATGAATTCTCAGGCACTGAAATAACTAAATTGGAGGGGGTTGGGATATAGCCCAGTGGCACAGTGCCTGCCTCTCAAGTGTAAGGTCATGAGTTCAATTCCTGGCACCAAAATAAATAGATAGATAGATAGATAGATAGATAGATAGATAGATAGATAAATTGAATAAAAGCATATAGACCCTCTTGCAGCATGGCTTTCAGAGCCATCATAACATGGAAAGGTATGAGCAGCAGAAGATTATAAGAAAGACCTTTTTGAGAAAATAGCTTCATATTAATTTGGCCAGTATCTTAGACTATTTTCATTAATTAGAGGCTATTAAACACATTGTAAGTGGATTGACAACTGGGCCTAAAGAAAGCTTCTGCATAGAATGAAAATAAACGGTTTCACGAGACTCATCAGCAGTCTGACAAAGGTGTAAGTCCTTCTACCATGGGCAGCTAGCTGGGTCAGCGCTGCGAGGCCCCAGGCCTTGCTGTTGCCCTTGAGCAAAAGCCAGCAATTCCGAGCTCTCTTACAAGGGCACCACTTCCTAGAAAATCCGAGCATGCTGCCTTCACTCTCTTGTGTCCCTGCATGCTGCCTACTGCAGTTGCTGCCTTCTGGAATCCACGTTGTCTGCTTGTGCTCTTTCAGGGAACAAGAGATCCTCTGTTTTTGACTGGTGTCATATTCCCGTCAGAGTATCCCATCTATGAGGAGACCAAAATAAAACTAACGGTCTATGATGTCAAGGATAAGTCTCGCGACACCGTAAGTACATACCCTTATTTCTGTCTTTGACAAAGGAGTTATGCTCTTTCAGTGCATTAGGCTTATGATGCGACTACCACTTTTCAGAGAGTTTATTTATGGAGTTCATACTGGTCTTATGTGTATAGTTTTCCAGGTGTCTTTCAAATTAATTTGACTCAGAGTTGCACTGGTGATTAGTTGGGAGCGAAAGTGTTTGGACCAGATTTTTCTTTTCTTTTTTTGAAAAACATTGACTTGATCCGTTGGTTTGCTTATGTTTTAAATTTTGGGGAGGTTGTTGCTTTAAGCTAAAACAAATAATAGTGTGGGTAGAAAGCAAATGAGAGATTAAATAACATTTTAAAATTTTCTAGATTAATGATTCTAGAGAAAGAAATTGACAAAATACTCTCAGAATTTACTCTGTTGTCTAGTTTACAGAATCTAGTGTTTCTGGTGTTGTTACTACACCAAAGCCAGTAGAAAATGTAGCAAGAAGCACTAGGCAGATGTGTTCATTGTTTTTTTCTACATTAAATGTAAAGCCCCAGTAGGTAGTCTTTTTTCCCAGATAGTTCAGCTTTCCTACCTGATTTGAATTGCCTTCCAACTGAATCAATTCTCCTGGTTAGACTGTTAGGGTCCTGGGAACGACTCCCAGGCCTTACACCTACAGCCCCCAGACAGGAGAGAATGTGGTCAGGGCAATGTGGAGAATAGACACAGCCTTTCCTTTTTGGGCAGACACTTCGGGATACTGCTGGGCCTGAAGAACCACACAGCACCTCCACTGGACAAAGGCAGCTTTGCGCTCTGCACCTACTTTAGCATTTCTGTTTTTCTCATGAGTCCTCTTCTTGTCAGTCTTACCGCAAAGCATACAACACGGGAGGAGGAGCTCCCTTTTAGGCTGATGCTTTGGATACTTAGTAGAGTAATCTATATTGATGCGTTTTCACATATCTTAGTCCCAGAAAGGTTCATTTCTCTGAAACTATAGAACAACTTCTCAATTAAATGCATAGCATATCCACGGGCTAGAAATATAAGGGATCTGGTTCAGTTTATTAACAAGGCAGGTTCTACAGCCAGATGCGATTTATTTCTCTTACTAGCTGTATATTTCTGGGACAGTTGAATTTTGGTGATCCTGCTCTCTTTTACTCTCTTATAATCCTGACCTCGTGGGGCTGTTATGAGTGTCAGACAGCTTGCTATATGCAAGAGGTATAGAAGACTGCCACTGAAAGTAGTAGGGGTACGTTGAGACTATTACTGCTGCTATTATTTGGATTACTGGCTCATAGTTCCTCATAAGTGTGAAAATCAATGAGGAAATCAAATCATCTTATGTCTTCATTAACTTTGTTATTCTTAAGAGGTCTTACATTTGTTGCTTCTATTAGAATTGCTGTCTTTGAAAAAGAGACAACATTTTGGTTAAAAGTGCAATGGAAAAATATTTGCTTGGAAGTCTTGGGGCCAGGGAGATGGCTCAGTAGGATAAGTGCTTGACTGGCAAACGCAAGGATCTGAGTTCAATCCCCGGTTCTGCCAAAAAAACCCCCCAAAAAACAAAAAAACAAAAACAGCCTGGGAAGTTCTGTCTTTTCCTTCCCATTCCTCTTGATTGCTGCAATTATTAATGCTACACAAGGAAAAGCAGTGCACTTGTAGTAGGGCGTGGGGACCAAGGTGATGGATTATGCACAAAGCTCCACACTCCCTGCCCTGTTCTTGTTGTTGTGCTGGGGCTTGGACCCAAAGAGTTCTCACTAAGTTTCAACCCAAGTCATTTTATTTTACTTTATTTTACAACTGTAGCATAAGATCTGCTTTTTTATCTTTTAAAAATATGGAAAGCTAAGATCTTGCCAAATCACTAGTTGTCCAGGCTGGCCTAGAACTTGGGATCTTCCTACCTTGGTCTCCCTCAGTTCTGAGACTGCAGGTATGCACTACCATGCCTAACTCTTTGTTCTTTTCTTCTGATCTTCTTTCAAAAGAGAGAAATGAATGCAAAGGAAAAAAACTTACAACATTGAGGAGTGTGGAGATCTAGTTGAAATGGGTCATGAGATTGGTGAGAGAAGCAATAAAGCAGAGAATGAGTAAGATGAAGGGAGAGTGAGCAGAAATTACGGGGTTTTATGTTTTGGCAAAGCACATGATTAAACTTAATTTGCAACACATATAGTGAGGACAGAAAATACGGAAGGAGAAAGGTCACAGGAGCATTAAACTACAAAAAGGAAAGTATTGCTCTGAAATGCTTCAGTTTGGTAAGTGTTTAGAAAAATCAGAGTCAGAAATACTAAGTACCTGAAGTGTTTCTATCCTCTTTCATACCCTTCATTTATAATATGCGTGCACATTAATGCTCTAGAGATAAACGTTTTGCTTACTGATTAATTATGCTTTTTGTTAACTTCAGTTCTGAAAATTAATTATTTGAGGTTTTTTAAAAAAGACTTCCTTCATTGATCAAAAGCGTTAATCACATAAAAGTATTAGATGAACTGAAATGCCTGCTGTGAAATAAAATTTTTGAAATGTGAACATGCTTAAGAAGTACAACCAGCGTTTAATTACCAAATGCTGTTGATTAAAGCTTAACCTCTTCCTTAAAATAGCTAACAATTAGCTCTGGTGAAGGAAGTGTAAATAGAAACACAGTTCATTAATGTTCTAATTGTCACTATGGACTTTTAGTCTTCATCCCGGTGTCTCTTTTTCTCCTTTCCTTTGGGGTGGGTGGTGTGAATCAAGCTTTTTACAATTCAGCTTAGACAGTAATTGTGAGTACTTCATAGCCTACGTACTTGAACAGCATCATATGCTTAAGGCATAAAAAATAAGATTGTGAATATATATGTGTTTTGGAGGGTTAATGAATCATGTGCATGTATGTATGTAAAAGTAATTTAACTGTTGAGTTCTAGGTAGTGAACTATTGATGATATTAGACTGACCCAGAGCAGTCGGTTGTGTACTGGTTGGACGCTAGTTAGCTGATTATAATTACTTAGTTGCTTGTGTTTTCCTATTGAGTTTATCATTCCTTGAAGAGAAATGATCAAGTAGACACGGTGCTTTGCTATTTCATGCTCATGTACATATATGCTAGCAGAGATATTTTTCAAAAGGAAGTGGTGACTTTTTTTGCCTGTGTCCCTGATACGCTACTACCTTGATGACTAGTTGTGGTATTCTTTTAAGCAATGGGGCCTAAGATTGATTACCCTTTGACTTCAGCAGAAAAGCAATTAGTCATCATAATAAATGAGAAGAGTGTAAGTGTTGGTTTGGTGTGACTGCTGTTCCCTCCTCTACATCCTCCTCCAGCTTTCAGGTTCATGGCAGATTAATAGACATTTCCTGGAAGGTAGGGCTTGGGTGAGCTATAAGGATCTCAGAGTCTTTTTCAGGTGTAAAGGATGTTGTGTTTATTTTCCACATTATAAAGAAATGTATAATTTCCTTATATCTTGCAGATGTATGTGGATTGTATGCCCCGTTTTAAATCTCCAAAAATAGAAATACAGAAAAAAAGTGTTTATAGAATGTTATTTAGAGTAATCAGCCTTCAAGAGTCAAGCTGGGAATCAGGGTTGTTCGAATAGTACAGCGAAAACTTAAGTGGAAAGAAAAAATCAGAACCTATGAAATACACCAAATATCACTATCAAAATTTATTTATATTTCTCCTTTATCCTACGAAGTTAGGCATTCTGGAAAGTACAAGACAAGGGTTTGTCAACAATTGCTGATAGTGGGCCTAAGGAGAGTCACATGGGGAGAAGACACTCTCTCAGGCTTTCACAGAGAGCACATTGGTCAAGCAATGGCCATGACTCATCCACATGGCTGCATTGATAAAGGTTCTACAATCTGAGGTACAGAATCTCAGGATAAATCCTGAGGGCATTTCACTGACCTTCTCAGACCAAAAAGCTACAACTCTTGTTGCATAGGTCCTGCTTTACCTTGGTCTTAATCATCCAGTAGAAAAGTATGAAGACGAAATGTAGGAAGTAAAGCCATGTTGTTATGTTGAGCTGTGGGGGACTCAGGTCAATAATTTCTGACATTGCCAGTTAAACAGAAGACCCAATGATATTATGGGCTACTGGACTCTTTTAGAATATTTTGCTGAGTTTACACACCTATAATATTCAATAACGGAACTTAGAAAAAATGGAGTATACCGATGAATGTCCATTTTGTATCTGTGTATTTAAAGAGGTTGGGATAGATATATAGTTGCATTCTCTTAATGAATAGAATGAATTGTTCTAATGGTGTTTATAAATAGGATCACAAGTCTGTATCTTGTACAGCAATTAACCACTAAGAAGAATATATGCAGTGTATTATTTGTTGAAACTGTACTTCCGATTTGATTTGAAACTGTCTCATTGCTATCTGTTTATCAATAAAACTTTGAAAAAAAAAACAATTGCTGATAAAGGCCATCAAATTTGCAAACATCTGATTAGGTCACAGGACTTTTTTGCCTGTGGTTGAAATTTGAATTTCTGCTCTATTTTGCTAAAGTGTACCTTGACTCCATTCTTTTTGCTCTGGGGATCAATAAACATACACTGTCCTCAGATGATCAGCTTGTGGGACAGAATTTGGTATCGTGTAGACTCTAACCATTTCTCAGGTGAGGACATGTGTCTGAAGACAATTTTTTAGTACCAGTTACTAGCAATGTACCATAGATCCTTCTTGAAACACTGACCTTATCAAGATTAAATGTAAATTTATTATATAATGTATATGACAGGCTTAAGGCAATTTAGTTCTAGGACAATTCTCTATTCAGAAGTGTTCAGTTTCCTTAAAAAATTCTTCATGGAAAATAAAACGATTGTACTGTTTATTATAATTTGCCTTCCCTTGAGTTTTTGAGGCCCTGTCTTAAGAACTTGAAGTCTATAAGATACTGAAATACTACCATGTAAGTTCTGTTAGCTGACCTTCCTCTTGGTCTGGAAGACAAGATGCAGTGG